GCGAGTGCACATTATTGATTTTACTTGGCCTAAAAAAAAAAAAATACAAAAGTGTTACATAACAAGTAGTTGTGTGTTTTTTTTTTTTTTTTTATGGTTATATTTCTATAGTCAAAATGTACCTTTACCAATTCAGCCATGGAGGCTGTATTGATAGAGCAAGGTTTGAATTACCTATTTAAGGAATGCACATTTCTTGGGACTTCTACAAATCTGTATCTCTTAGCTTCAGTTTCAGGTTAAGATATAGATTGCCTCCCCCACCAGAGTTAGCAGGGTAAGGTAATGGATTCCATTTCTAATTTTGAAGACTTGTTGTTAACCAAGGTCACAGTGCCCAATCTGTCTAGTTGGTAAGCAGGTGAGATGGGTTCATGCTTTTCTCAAGAACATCAGTAGAGTTTGAACTTGACTTGCTGAAAATTGTGTTGAGACTGAATGATGTTATTGGTTGTGGATATAAGCTGTTTTTGTTGCTTCTGCTTCTTTAACAATTGTCTTGCAATGCAAGCAGTAATCTCTTGTTATCTCTCAATATCTTATTTCCTCTTTGACTTAAGTAAATCTTGGAGATATCTTTCCCCTCTCTTTGAACTAAATGGATGGAGGGAGAATTCTCTAGATTAGTGGTTTTCAAGTGGTGAGCCTTATAGGTGTAGTGGAAGAGGATGGATATCAGGTGAGATGGAATGATAGAAAGACAAAGATTTAGAAACGGTTTCAAAAAAATTCATATGCCAAAAATAATTGATTTCAAAATTTAAAATATTATGGATTACTTGTTATTGCATGCATGTGTCCCAGTATGAATAGTTATATATAATTATGGACTGATTTTTATCATTGTGATATTTCTGCATTATATTGAGTATTAAGAATATAGTAACTAGGCTCTGCAAATTGAAGGAGAGAGTTATCAGTGATAATGATCTGAATTTGAATCTGTGGTTATCTCCCTTTAACCCTCTCTCTGTCTTTTATTTTTAAATGTATTTTTTATATAAAATTTGGTGAGGTGCAAGTAAATTTTCATTCTGAAAATATGGCCCAAAGAAAAAAATGTTTGGGAATCACTGCTCTAGGTGATGCCTCTGAATCTAACTCTTAATGATTAGATTTACAGCCACCTACTTAGCCGATGCTGACTGAATTAGGACATTTTATTTTATTTTTTTTTTTTTTAGAAAAATAATACCAATCCTATATTAGATTGTATTATCATGGCCAATGGATTGAAATAAAAAGCTTGTTCAAGTCTATTGCTTTATTTTTTGATTTTTATTAATTTATTTTTTAATTCTGACAAGAATTGTCTGTCCTAAATAAGTAGATTAATTCAATTGTTTTGAAGTCTTTTATTTAGCATAGATTTGAGAATAAACATGCCAATACTAATTTGCATAATGGTAAAAGCAATGAGGAGGTTCAGTGCAGCTTCTGTATTCAGAGCCCCCCCCATTACAATTACAGAAGTCAAGGTCATCATGATGATGATGATAAGCAGTAAATGTAGACAGATAAATAACCTACTGGAACCACTGAAATGGTTAAAATCCTGGTTAATAGTGTGTCTTTCTGTTGGTCGCTGTATAGAATAAAATGTATGAATCGGTTTCAGCATAAACTGCTAGAGATTTTTTTTTTTTCACAGCAAGTGAAGTTTGTCTATTCAATTTTGAAAGAAGTCACTAGGTATAAGTGTATATAACAGAATATACTTATATGTGCTATATTAATATTTTATACACTATTTGATACAAGGAATTAAACCCTGGATGTTCTTTCATGGATGTTTGGATTTTTGTTAATATCATTTCACAACAAGCAAGATAATAAAGCAAGGTGATCAGCCTATAAAAATTAGAATGAACACTGAAGACGATATAACAAGAAAATCAGGAACTTAATGGTGTATCTATATTTTAAACGGGGTATTTGAAATCCTCATAATACTAATGGAGGATTAATTTTTCTCTAAAATGACCTCTTCATCCTTCAGAAAGAGAAAAAAAGAAAGAAGGAAACTTGAAAAGCAAGCCGTTCCCTTGACATTTTGATTTCCTGAAAGGTGATTTAAAATAAGTAACAACTTTTGACAGGGTACAATCAGACTTGACTAATTTGACAATGGGTAAGGTTAACTAGAATTTTCCTATGACTGTCTGGTTTGGTAACTTGATTATCGAGAAAGTGGTTTGTTGAAATTCTCACCCATTTTCTTTTTTAACCATTTTAGTATTCACATCTGGAGACATTTTGCACATGTCATGTCTGTCTTGGAGGTGGGTAGCAAAATCAAAGACGTTTATGATTTTTAATACCTCTAGTGGTCTCAATTAAAATTGTGTTTGTATTTTAGTACACGTGTACTAAAATAAAAAATATTCCATGTTATTAATTTTTGTTATTTGTTAAAATAAATACAATGTAAGCAATCAAATAATAATACTACTAATACTGAGTGAAAGATGACACCATGACATGCACCATTCTGTAAGAGGCACAATCGTATATTTTGAAGGACTTTCAAGAACTGCTCTGACTCCAGCCATATGCATATCTGTATTTGCGTTACTGGAAACTGCAAAAAATTGGGAAATTTTCCCCACTGTCATGGTGAAACAAAATGAGACTGTATAGATTATTATTTTCATTTTTAATTTATGTTCATGTTGAAAAACTCACAAAAAATTTGCAGAGATTCAAAAACTTGATTGAAATGGTAAAATTTAAGTGGCTTCCAGAAAATTGGTTCATAGGTACTTAGACAAAATGGAAGACACACTATTTTAGTACCTGGATACTTATATTTCAGAACCAAACTGACACCACCCACTGGCCATGAGTCTGGTATCTTGGTATACCTCTCCTGAGTATGAGTTTATTTAAAGAGTTTTTTTTTTTTTTTTTTTTTTTTTTTTTAATTACACCAGCTGCATGATTTATTCCTATAACATAGACATATTAGGCATGGTTATTTTTCAATGTATGCATTGTATTTGGCACAAGGCCAAAGGAGTAAGGGTGGGGAAGGCTGGTCAACACTATCCTACTCCTAGCTAATAAAATTCATGACCAATTCATTCTAACAAATGACACAATCCATCCATCTCCATTCAATCTGAACATGTATGAAAATACTGTATTTTCACAGGTGACTTAATGATACGCCCATGATTATAAAAATTTCCTGAATATACAGGCCCAAATATTAGACATATTGGGCATCATAATACAACCAATTAAACATATGTAGAGTGTTTCATTAAAATAGCCCCCAAATCTTTTTTTTTTAGTGGTGGTGGTGGGTGGGGAACATTTAGTCAATAAACGTAATAAAATGTTAAAGAAAGCCACTTTATCATTTCAGTTTTTTTTTTTTTTTTAGAGTGAGGGTGAAAATAAAACTTTCATGAGTTGGTAATTTAATTTTTATTTTAAGTTATTTTTGCTTGTTATAAATTATTCATGTGCATCATGCGATCGCAATAGTTTCATCTTGTAAATATTAAGCTGATAGGCACCTAGAGAAGTTAGAATTCATTAACAAAAGTCAGTGAGATCTGCATTCTTAAATAAAAATGGACAATAATATTTCTAGTCAGTGTAATTTTTGCTACTTGATCTTAGTTTTCCATGTGACAAACAGGTTGGGAAGAAAAGAGTTGAAAAATGTTAGGGAGCTTAATGGTACAAAACTTTCATTGGAACACTCCATTGCTAAAAATGCTGGGAAAATGGTCTATCACTTGAGGAAGGTACCAGACACTTTTCAGCCATGCTCAGATTAGACCAAATATGAAGTATTACTGATACATCTGTGTTGGAGCTGCTCATTCTTCACTTTCCAACCTTGAACGAGTTCAAAATCATTTACAAGATTCTGTAGACGAAGACTTCTCTTTGCAGCCTCCTTCTCCACAGATGCAATGTTGCAAACCCATGATTACTATATTGTTATTTCCATGGTGAATGTTCAGATGAGCGCTGTTCTTTAATTCCACCCATTCAGATCTTTGTAGACAGAACATGTCACGCTATTTCTGTGGAGTCAATCACTTTCATTTCCTTTATATTCCATTTGTAAGGAGGAAGTTGCATTCAGCCTTTTCCTCAGAACTTCTACTTTGTGGAACAAACTCCCGAGAGGATGCTTCCTTGAAAACTACAATCTTAATCAATTCAAGCCAAGGATCGATTATTGTCTATCCTTCTTATCCTCATAGTCTTCACTTCCTACCACTATTTGTATTACACATCTCCTTCATCATTACTATTTTAACAGTGACCCTCTAGCTTGTGTGGCTTTCAAGCCTTTTATAAGGTGAATTTTATCATAAAAACATTGTTTTTCTCCCTTCATAACATTGGAATAGTCAAAATGAACAATTGTACTTTTAGATATTTAGAGGTAAGTAAAGTCTCCTATCTGAGAAAAAATTTTTTAAAACAGATAGGATAATGAAGCAGTTATCAAAATGAAGTAAAGTTTTTTTTCTGAATTTCTGGTATAAGGAGTCAACATTATTTCAATTTGGACTATTGTCCTCATCTTTGTTGTTATCATAAAGTTTTGGCTGTTTTGTCATCTGGCTTTCATCAGGTGTATTTTGATTCAGGTAACCTACAGGGAATTCCAAATTGAACCCTTTATTTAATCTATGGAGGTGGACTGTTTTCATTCCACTGCCCATGTCTAAGGATATCTTGTTCCTATTTTTAGTACTGCCTGTTTCCACTGAGTCAAAGTACATACTGAAACGGGAATTGAACTCACACTTACTAAGTCACCAAATTCATGAACCAATGTTTTAATCCACTAGGCTATTGTCCTGTAGGACAATTTTCTGTGGAGAAATTGGAGCCTTACACATAACCTGATTGTCTGCTGATGCATGTTATTTCTTCAGAATAACAGGTTTGTTTCTCAATGTCATCACCCATTTGTACTCCCCATTTATCCAAACTGTTTCATCCACTTTCTCATTCCAACGTGAAGAATGTTTCTGGTTGGCTTTTGTTGAAATTGTGCATAACAAACACAGCTTTAGCAATGGATAAAAAAAAAAATGTTGACCTTACAATACCTCTAAATTTGGAGAACAGCCAGAATTCTGATGATGCTAAATCAGGGTTCTATAGACAGTGTGAAACAACTGTTAGGCTTCTCAGTATTTTCACCATTTCTTGTTTATAATGTGGCCTTGTGTTGCTGATGCATTGAGTTTTCACAATTTCTTGGCAAATTGTCATTCTCTTTAGCAGAAACTTTCTGCAAATGATGCTGATCACTATTTTATATGTAACTCAGATGTAGTACTATTAACTAATGAACACAATTACTATCTGCTTTTCACACAGAAAACTGACCCTAGTCCTGTTGCTGAATACATCTTCAAACATGTTCCTATCGCCTCTATTAGGGGATGCCATCCAATAGGGGAGGCATGGTGGAGTAGTGGATAGCAGCTTGGATTGAGGAATCAGAGAGCCAAGTTTGAATTCCAGTTGAATCCATTACATTCACTTATGTGCTAATACCCTCGGGGAAAGGTATGAATCCTCTTCTTCTTCCCCCTGCCCCCCTCGATATGGATAAATAGCAGGACAGAGTTCTATAGCCTTGAATGGCAACTGGTCTACTGCAGAAAGAAATGGCAGCCTATTGTGGGGGGGATACTGCCTCATCAGTCATGTATTGGAAGATATATGATTGTCTAAGCGTGTATCACACCTGGCACATAACTGACTGATCCAATAGGTAATTTTACTTATCAGTCGGTATACTCTTAAGTTGGGAAACAAGAGATTGGTATCATGGTGTGAGGTGGGAAGAAATTCTAAACTATAAGTGAGGGGGTTGGAATAATGGAGTGGGTTGTCAGAAGAAATTTTAAATAAGGTGGAGTTTGAAGAGATGGTAAAATGTGGCCTGGGAAGAAATGCTAAAAATGTAATGAGTGTGGATTTGGAAGAAAAATTTTGCCCCTCTGACTAAATTTAAAACTGTAGTGTTAATATTACAAACAAGTGTACAAAACCTTGAAAATGGAAATTGCTCACATGTAACCTGCCCCTTTTTCAATTTGATAAATTCAGAATTGTTTTTAAAGACAACTTTTTACTCAAAGTATATAAAAACAGATTTTTATCACTGAATTCCCAAACTTAGTATTTTACTTATTTTCATAAAGATGACTCATTTTTCCAAATGTCCAATATATTGCTCGTCTTTATGGTTCATATATTTGTCAGTAACTATTGTGATACTATGGACACCCATGTAGAAAGGGAATAGGTGGTTTTATTCCAATCTCAAATGTTTCTGTTTGATGAACCAGCAAAATCCTTTTGAAGTTTGGTCTTCTAAGTGGCATCCACTTTAAGTAAAGAGGTGGATAAGGTGGCAACAAAACTGGAAAGGGGTTACATCTGGGTGCATGGGAAAGGGGTTACATCAGTTATGCATGGTATTGGGAAAGAGTTTTGGTCCACCTTTGGTAGGAGATGGTGTCAGTGTTGTGGTTCTGAAGCCTCTATTTTGTATTACCATTACCACATTGGGATGAGTAGATGGACAGGTGTTGGTAAGGGAAAGATCTGATATTGCAGAGGTTGTCTCATCACCAACCTACCTACCTGGACGTGCAAGAGAAGCCCTGAATAAAACTACATATGCATTCTTCAGTCTGTCTATATTTCTGAGATGAGGTATTATGTACATTATTTACATTATTTGGACTATTGTCCTCATCTTTGTCGCCATATTTATCACAACGATTCGGCCATTGTACGCTCTGGCCTTCTTCAGGTGGTTGGAATGTTGAATGTCACACTCTTTGGGTCCTGTCACCTAGGTTTATAATACCCAGAAATTTATACCCAGATGTCCTCAAGGACACATGGCACAGTGGATAAAGGTGTTGGTTAGATCCAGTAACAGGACCCAAAGAGTGTGAGTTCAATACCTGGTTTCAGAGGGAAATTAACAGGAGATAACTGATAATCCATCGAACATGACACGTGGAACTAGAAAAGTCTACTCCGGTGAGCGAAATAAAGGGTTCAGTTCGACATTCCAACCACCTAAAGAAGGCCGGAGCATAGAACGGCTGAAACGTTGTGATAAATATGGCAACAAAGATGAGGACAATAGTCCGAATAATGTAAATAATATGCATTCTTATTTCTCGATGTGGTACTTTTCTTTCATGGTATTACACTGTGAGCATGCAGTGTGCTTTTTTTCCTCAGTTTTCAGTGCACACTGAAGAGATCAAGTATTGAAATGCAGTGTGGGGGGGTAATCACTGGCTGGTCAGTGGAAACCTTGGGTGGAGGTTGTCTTGTATATTTACATTAACACTCATTCCTTGATGCTACCTTGTGCTTCTACAGAAGATTAATAAGCAACTAGAAATTTAATGGTTTTCCTCTTTAATAATTAGATGAATCTTAACTCTTAAGTTAACGATTCAGTAAGCTCATGGAGAGTTCTGACAATAAAATATCTGTTGAAATTCCCCTATCGCATCGTTAAGTATTTGAGCTTAACTTTAAGAAGATATTGCAAAAAGAATCATAAATATCAATGCTGGTCGTTATTTTAAGGAGTTTGTACAAATGAAAAGATTTGAAATTGTTAACTTTTCCATTTCCTTGAAAAAGACTTTAAACACTTCTATCTTCCTGGCTTTCTTTCTTTCATTCAAATGTCTTGTTTTTCTATGCAATCAAAATGGAATGGTCCATTATTTATGAGGTATTGGCAGGAGACATTTAAAGACTTTCATCTTCCCAGTCATATCCCTGTCTTACAAACATTTCTCTTAATAATAATTTAAGAATAATTCAGCAGACAGTTATTTTCTTTATGGTTACTTATTTTTTTGGTGATTGCATCACTTGGTTTCTGTCATTCAATACTGTGAGTCTGAAAAATTACACTTTTATCGTGGTCGGCAGACCTCTTCAGCCTTCTGGCTGGGATCAAAATGTACCCGTTATTAGATTAATCTGATTCTCTCATCTTCCTTTTCCTCCCTCCATTCCTCTCATCTTTCCTTCCTTTCTTTCCTCCCTCCATTCCTCTCTTCGTTCCTTCTCTTTGTCCCTCCTCTTCCTCTCTTTGTCCCTCCCCTCCCTCCCTACCTCCCCTCCCTACCTCCCTACCTCCCCTCCCTCCCTCCCTACCTCCCCTCCCTACCTCCCTCCCTCCTCCCTACCTCCCCTCCCCACTCCCCCCCCCCCCCTACCTCCCCTACCTCCCTGCCTCCCCTCCCTACCTCCCCACCTCCCTCCCCTCCCTCCCACCTCCCCTCCCTCCCTCCCCTCCCTCCCTCCCCTACCTCCCCTCCCTCCCTCCCCTACCTCCCCCCCTCCCCCCTACCTCCCCTACCTCCCCCCTCCCCCACCTCCCTCCCCTCCCTCCCTACCTCCTCCCCTCCCCCCCCTTTTCTCCCCTCCCCTCCCCTCTCCTCTTCCCTCCTCTTCTTCTCTTCCCCCCTCTTCTTCTCTTCCCCCCCTCTTCTTCTCTTCCCCCCTCTTCTTCTCTTCCCCCCTTCTTCTTCTTCCCCCTCTTCTTCTCTTCCCCCTCTTCTCTTCCCCCTCTTCTTTTTCTCTCTTCCCCTCTTCCTTCCTCTCTTTCCTTCCTTCCTTCCTCTCTTTCCTTCCTTCCTTCCTTTCTTTCCTTCCTTCCTTCCTTCCTTTTTCTCTTGTCTTACTAAAACCAAGTAATATCTCCTCCACACAATCAAGCTGTGGAATAGCACATTATTTATGAGGTAACGGTGTGCGAACTAACAGAGGGAAAAGCACATTTAGGATGTTAGGGTTGGAAGAAGAATGTCTTGGGTGGGAACTATTTCAAAAAGTTAATTGGTGGAAGTGAGGGCTTTATTCAGTACTTGAGTATGTTATAGAAGTTAGCAAATGGTTGATGAAATTGCTTTTATTTTTAATTTGACACTGAATTAATCTTTTTTTTTCTTCTCTCTTTTTCACACAAGCTGGATTTATTTAAGTTTAAGGATGGGATGATTGACAGTTTAATTGCCAACACCTGATTGTCAACAATATTATTGGTTGATAGAGCACTTAGCAACAGTGAGTGATGTATTTAGGTCCTGTTCAAGTTTTCAAAGATTTTATTACACAAAGATTAGATAAATTAATACTAAAACTTATAACTCTGACAAATCTATATATGCTGGCATGCAAAAGTTCTAGGTGGACTACATAAAATAATTATACACCTTTTATTTTATTATGGAGTTAAGATTGTTTTGCTGTAGACTTTTTTCAGTAGTGTCTGTGGACCTTGAGAATTAGAAAATAAGTTGTTGCATTTTCATATGTACCAACAGAAGATACACTATTTTAATTACTTTGTAACTGATAAAAAGGCCATACAAACTATTGGGCCAATAAAAGATCTGAGATAAAGTCATAATAATATGCAAATTAGGAATTGTTCCAATTAATTTTGTGTAAGGTGTCTTGGCAAATCATTGTAGTTGAACATTAGCTTTTTTTTTTATACTAAAATCATGGCTAAGATTTCTATTGTGACTTTGATGAGGAAAATAACTCAATGAGAATTAGGCAGGCAGCTGGGAATTTCCAGAAACAGTGTTCAAACCAGCCAATTTGCTACTGCTGGAAGTGTCTTATGTGCAAAGAAAACTGGAAGATCACAAAAGTTAAACAAGAGATGAAAGAATGATTGTGACAGTCTCTGAAGGTAATCCAAAATTAATAGCCAGGCAAGTGAGAATTAGATGCAGTCTTAATGGTGAGCTTTTGGTTGATAAAGTACGTATTATAAAGAAAACAACTTGAACTGGCGTGTAGCACCCAAAAGAACACAATTAACCACAAAAACTTTGGAATAGAAGATTTAAGTAATTAAAAATTGGGTGCTGGAAAGTGGCAAAAAGTAATTTTTTGTGACAAATGCAAAATAGTTATGTTCTAATGCAAGAGAATATATCAGAAGACCAATGAAAGAAGGAAACAATGCTAGATACACCAAAGAAATAGTAAAATTTGGTGATAAACACGTAATGCTGAGGGTTTTCAGTAAAAGTAATGGTAGAAGAAAATTGGTAAAATGTTAGGGCTAGTCCAAACCCTGCTGAAACACTGAGAACCTATATTATTTACTATGGTTTAATTTTCTGCCAGACTATGAAGATGGTGAAATTTTTCAGTATGATGTGCCTTGGCACACATCATGTCACAACAAAAGGTTTCATATGGATGAAGATGATCAACTTATGGAAGATTGGTCAGAACAATTCTGATCTCAATATCATTGAACTGTTGTGGTGGGAATTGAAGAAACAAGTGCTGCAACAAAAATCACACAATCTCCAGGAGATTTGCGGTTACTGCAAAGAAGAATGGGGAAAGAAATTCCAAATGAGAAAATCTGGACCTTGTTTAATTTAATACCACATCAAATTATTTTGACATTTTGTACTTTCTGTAATAATAAAAATGACTTTTTGCAAAAAAAAAAAAAAAAAAAAAGATAAAATTCTTAACTTATGAAAAGTTCTAAAAGGTGAAATTTTTGCTGGTGATCCGTTATTTTTGCCTGGTCTTTTTTAGCATCACTGTACTTAAGAGGCTCTATCATCGGCCATACAGCATTGACGAAAATGCATTATCTTGTTTTATGGCTCTCAAAGACCATAAAATGTAATAGAGAAAAGCTTACTGCTAATCACTAAATTTTAGGGTAAAATTAAAAAATAAAAAAAAAGTAATTAATTTACCAAGGTGGCTCTAAGGTTTTGCATGCCAGTGTAGTGGTATTGAACCTCAATTGTTTTCAACTTGGTACTATCTTTCTATTTTTCATTCTTTAACACAATATTTTTTTTTTTTTTTTTTTTTTTTTAAGTCTTGTTTTTTTAGTCTTGTTTTTTTCAAAAAAATCTTTAGTATTGTCTTATGTTATACTACAATATCAACCAACAGTTTCTTGACTGGTCAGCTTGTATATGCAGTTATCACTTAAATATAGGTAAATACATGTATTCTATTTTTGATCTGCTATTAATAAACACATAACAAAATAGATTTAAAAAAATTGTAACGGTTCTTTTTACACAATATTAAAAAAAATATTTACATTATTATGATCACCTGCTAATAAAGTGTTAGTTTTCCATGTTCCCAAAAATCAATCAGGCATGAACTGTACGTTACCTATAAAGGTTGCTTTGGAATCTGGTGCCTGGATGTTAAGTTGTTTTCTGTTGCTATAGCAGGATATGATAGCACAACTATGAAATTCAAGCATACTATTGTTCTGGGATCAGTCCTCTTTAGTGGCAGGATAAACTTTTTGCACAGCAAATGAAGTATGAGTGATAAAGGGTAAATGTTACCAGTTATATAGAGAAGGTTTTACTAGGTATACTTGTTTCAACAATCCATGTTTGCCTAAGTTGACTTAAATAAAAACAAATTTCAACATTAAATAACACAATAGAGTTTGGTGGATTTTAGCTTTTTTTCTAATTTTTTGGGGATTTTAGTGTGCAATAGAAAGTTGTCAAATTTTTTTTTTTCTATTCATTGTTTATGATGACTTTACCTTGTTTTCAGATTTAGATTGGATTAGATTTGAATTTTATAATCCTCCAAAATCTACCATTTTTTTTTTTTTTTTTTTTTTTTTTTAATTTTTTTTTTTATTTTTAATTCTCTGAGACAATTGGATTGTGCTAATACCATTTGTTTGTATAATCAATGTTCTTTGCACAATTCCTAGTGGATTTCTGTTATCATCCTGTCATGTTTGTGAGCTAATTTGCTAAACTCATAATTTCATTTTCTCTGTGTCTACAAAGGCAACACTTGTTCTTTTTGTCTGTTTTGCATTTGTGTTCTTGGCCGTTGTAATTCTGTTTTCTTTTTTCAAGTATCTGTTTTACAACAATACTAACTTGTTTGCCTACAATACTTCTGAATGACTGATTCCCACCCTGAAAATAACCACTTAAATGTGGGTAATTTTAGAATTAGCAGCTTGATATACCTGATAGTCTTGCAGCTTCTATTTAGTTTTAGTGATCGGTACTAATGTAGGACAAGTTCAGGATAATTCAGCTAGGGCACCTGACCTGACCTGACCTATCTCATAAAAACATAGTTTGCTGGAAATAGATTCCACCAGAATAAACTGCTTTTGTTTGATGGAATAGTAAGTTCTCAGTTAAAATGGATTTGCATTTCACATCCTCCTCAAACATTTAAACTTATTTTTTTTTTTAAAACCTAGTTAAATGTTAAATGAATCTGATGTATATTTTGGCTGTTGGTCATATAGTTTATTTATTGCCAGGTCTGTGAGGTTTGTTAGGCCAAGTCATGTCTTGATAAATTTTCATTCTGTGGTAAACTTGTTTTTTTCTTCTTTATCTTAGTGTATGTGTGTTCATTTTATATGGGCGATGAAAAATTTTCATCTTGTCTGATTCCTCCAAATCTAACCAAATAATCAAACATGAGATTTTTGGGAAGGGCATCATGACCAAGAACTTTTCAGCATTAAAAATTATTATCATCATAAATGTGAGCAGATTTTTGTACACAATATTAAAAAAAAATAGAGCACTAATAGTTAATAGATAAATAAAAATTAAAAAACTTATGTTTCTGATTTCAAGTTTCACAGTTGCACCACTCATCAGGGTAAGATAAATCTTTTGAATTAATTTTGTTAATAAATTCAACTTTAGCTGACCCTGTCAAGCAATGTATCTGAAAACTTAGACAGATTGTAAGTCTTAATAAAAAAAAATGTGCCTCCAGATTAAAAAACAAATCAGAGGTTTGATTCCTGTTGGGAATAAATTCTATAGTAATATAAGTACTTTTCTTGGAGGCCATGTCTTCATGCTGAAATGTCCTTGTTATTGTTGTTTTATTATTATTTATTGAGAGAACAGTATGCCAACATAATGATGCCAGAGTACAACTACATGAATTTCAATCTACCCATCATGATGCCAAGTTTGATAAGAGTACACCAAGTACATGCACCACAGCCAAATGTGCATGGTATGGTGAGATGTTTTTCATAAATGAAGTATATAACCTCACAGACCCTGATAGAAATACTTTCAGGTTGGGTAGCACAGTCTGATCACATAGTCTCTGATTGAGGGTTTTTCCTAATATTGAGACATGATGCCCAAGTCGCCTTTGCTGCCTTATCTTTTAAAGTAAAAATCAAAAAACCTCTTGACATCTTGTCATGATGCTCTTGCACATGAACTGAGATGTATAGTGCACTAGCCCTTAGGGGGACATGCCTAACTTGTTTAAGATCAGGTAAGTGACAAGCAAATCTGGTACTAATTGGGATATTTGCTGTAGTCCATCTTAATTCACCAAAACTGAACATGTACATGTTAACACCTACAATCGGTTAAGATCAGAAGCCATGAGAGCCATGCATTTATTATCACCATCATCTGATCATGTAGTTGTGCACTTAAAATATCTTAAATAGGTAATTAATTTCTTGGTAAAATCTGTCCTATTTATGTGTCAGCATTTGACTGACTACTGTCTCGAAGATTTTCCATATTAAAATAGAAACAGGCATATAGAACTCAAATTCCTCTCTATTTTCAGATGTAACTGTGGTTTTGAGTTAGATGATCAGTAAGATGCAATTGGAGGTGAATTAGTTTTTTTTTTTCCCCAATTGTATATTAATCTTTTAACTTAAATAGAAAAGAAAGCTGTGTTGTAAGCAGGAATTGAGAAACTTTACAAAGATTCAGATTTTAATTTGAGCTTTGATTCACTTAACAAACTCCTTCAATTTATGCTTTTCATATTTTTAAATTTTTTTTTATTAAAGAGCAACATTTTTGGACTGGTGTCTTCATCTTTATTATCATATTCCCAATGTTTTGGCTGTTGTACACTCTGGCCTTCTTCAGGTGGTGATGTATGTTGGAATATTGAACCAAATCCTTTATCTACTCCACGGAGATAGATTGTTTTCGTTTTACGTGCCATGCCTTTTCTGGATATCTTAGTTTCAGTTAATTCCTTTTAGTAACTCAATTGAAAGCCTCCACATTGGAAATCACCTGGCATGTCTTCAAATAAAAAAGATGACCTTTTCACTTAAAATTTCCCTTTTTTTAACTATATTTTCTTTTAATATTCAAAACTGATATCTTACAATGTGGGAATATCTTGACAAACACATTAATAATGATTGACTTGAACTTTTTTTTTCACTTGTACCACTTTTTTATTTAATACAAGAGAAAATAACAACATTCAATTTAATGTAATTAATAGGTATTTAAATTGGTGCAGAAAACAGAAACTGTTTGTTGTGTTCACTTCTCAAGAAGACATGAATGCATTTCCCATCTTTTCAGTTAGACATAAAATTGCAGAGCAAACTGACCTTTCTAGCCTTGTTTGGCAACTAGACCTGTACAACTGAAATTCAAACTGGTCGTGTAGGCAATTCACTCTATCATGTCAAAATCTATTTGCTACTGAAACTGCACTAGCTTCACAATACCTGGTTTTGCTGTGGCCCTTATGCTCCATGAACAGTCTACAAGCTGGGGAAAATTGGTATCTTAACTATATCCATATTTAGAGCCCCCCCCCCCTTTTTTTTTAGCAGCCTTAAATAGTGTACGGAAATTTTACTTTTAACAAATGATGTGACTGCAGTTTCATCCAGCAACTAAGATACCTTACCTTACAGGGCTGAAATGTTTTACAAACATGGATTCTGTTTTCTGCTTCAATAACCATTACTGATTTAATACCTACTAATTACATTAATTTGAATGTTGCTATTTTTTTTCTCGTATTAAATAAATAATCAGTACAAGTAAAAAAAAAAAAAAAAAAAAAAAAGTAAACTTCAAGTTAATCATTATTAATGTGTTTGTCAAGATATTCCCACATTGTAAGATATCAGAAGTTCTGAATGTTGGAATGTTAGTTAAAAAAAAGTGAAAATTTAAGTGAAAAGGTCATCTTTTTGATTTGAAGACATATCAGTTGATTTCCAGTGTGGGCTTATCTTGTCCAGAGTCATGTGACAGTTTTGTCAAACAGCCGAAGCATGTTAATGCATTGACACATGTATTTTATGAATATGACTTTTTTTGCTTTTCCAACAAACAGCTCCATAAAACTATTCTGATAAACTAAGTATTTACGCTATTCAAGAGATATCACTTACCAGCCTCTTAACCACTAAGACCTTAAAACTATTTTGTTTTGTTAAAGAAAAAAAAAATGTAACCTCAAAAATAATAAACTACTGGACAGAGAGCACTACAATTGAGACCAGAAGATATTTTAATCTCTGAGAAAGATCTGATGAGGGTATGTTTTATCTGGCAGACTTTTTGTAGAACAAAAGGTCACTTCAAATGATGTGACTGCAGTTTCTCCCAGTAACTAAGATAGATTACTTTACAGGGCTAAAAGGTTCTGTCTTAATATTTAAACATGTCACTGGGAGAGGCGGAAGACCATGCCTTTCCCCCAAAGACTTTAATGCAATATAAACTGTCCAAGCTAGAGGTTGAAATGTTTGTCAGGTTCTATTCTTTATGCTGGTTTTACTACTGAAAAGATATTGGTAAGAGTTAAATTAGCAAAAGTTAGTACTTGCTTGGTACAATGAACTTAATTTGTCTGAATTACTTAGGCAAAGTATTTTCATTATTAATTATGAACAGTTTGTGTTTTTGGTTTTTCTTTGGCAAATTTGAATATTTGTACCTGCAAAAAGACTATCAAAAGGACAGTTTTTCCATTGAAACTGCTATTATTTTAATTATCTTCTCTCTTTGTCAATGTTTATTGTTTTGAAAAGCAATTATTAGAAATTTAATAAAACCTAAATATATGATGAAAGTGAATTTATACATTTTCTTTTTTCTTGAGAATTGACAAAAAAAATAATAAACTCTATTTACACTAGGTACCTTCACTAATTTGGTGTAAATTCATTATGCTATGCTGTTTTTCCATGAAAAAGTGGAGGTACCTAATTTACACTATTTAGTTATTATATTGTTATATTGTTTATTGGAATGGTTGGTTATAACATTGGCTAATTGCCAATAGTTTCAAACTTTGTAAAATGTTAAATAGTAAGGATTTCCCTGTGCCCTGCCTTCTCTGGATGTCTTGGAGAGACTTGAGGTAACAAATATGGTTTTACACAAGGATGCTGAGAATATCATAGACTGAACATATGAACAACGATAAAGTTTTAGAGAAAATGGAAACAAAAAAGATACTTGGAATCAGAAAGAGACAATTAAAATTTCTAGGGCAAGTAGAGGAAAGAGGACTTGGAATATTTGACACACACAGGACATCAAGGCAAGAGAGACAGTGGAAAATGGTGCATAACCTATCTGAACTTGTGTAAATCGATGGCAGAACAGGGATAACAAAAAAACAAAATTTACTAAGAGCTAAAAAGGACAAGAAATTGTGGAGATACATGATTGCCAATCTCCTGAAGGGGTGCAACACATAGATGTATTCATTAGGTGTAAATGCCAGTGATGCTTTTAAGTTGATCATGTTCTCTTCTGTCTTGGGTTTGACTTGGTAGAAATTTCTCAAATTGCTTTTAAATATTGTCCTGATGTTCTGTGGACTACAAATCTGAATTCTTTCCTACATATCTTTCAAGACTGACAGTTTTATATTCTTCCTACTCAACCCTTTCTGTTTTTGTCTATAGAAGCTGATATTTGTAAGATAGTTGTTATTCTGATGGGTATGCTTATCATCTGTTGGTATATGTCTGGGTTGCCATTTAGAATTTTTGTGCAGTATTGGAGACATCAGATGAGCCCTTTCTTCATGCTGTATGGATGGTGGGATTGTCTGGTAAAGATTGGCTTGGGATATACCAATGTCTTGTGTGCCTTATCTGTGAGATATTAATAAATCTTAGGAGGGCTTACAGAATTTTGGTTCCTTCTTTCATTGCAAACTGGATTGAAGGTCTTAATGAATTCACATAGTCCAGCTGTATTTGTACAGCTTCCTGATGAGGGGAAAAATGAGATGGTGTCATCTATATATCTCAGTTATTTCTTTTCGTTATTTAAAGAAAAAAAAATTGTCCAGAAATGATCCAGCAACTAAAAAAATAAAAAAAAATAATCTGCCTTTGGCAATGATGCCTTAATTTGCTTCAAAATACTTCTCTTTGGATCTTGTATACTTATTTCAGCATCCATTCCAGTTATTACAACTGACCTCTTTAGGGATTGCCATCAGCTGCTTCATTCTGTTCTCTTTAATCTTATCCACGGTTTGAAATCTCTTCCTTTTCAATGAGAAGTCAGAAGGAACGTAATTTGGAATGTAGTGACAAACCCAAGTGATGCAAAGTGCAGCCAGAAAATCAAGTGTACAGATCTATTCGGCTGTTTTTTGTGAATCTGACAGGGCATATCAGCTTGCTTAGTAATGTCATTGCTGACTGAGTAATTACATGGGAGTCTATGTATGTGCAGTAAGTTAGCCCCTTCCACAACTCCAGTTGGTTTCCCTGCTATGTTGAGTCTGTGCAACTGTTAAGATATTCAAAAGGCCTCAATATGCAGTGCTGAAATCTCAGCTATTGACTTAGCACTTGACATAATAATAAACAAATGCAATAAATTTATCATTTCCACAGATTCCATGTCAGCATTTGTAGCAATAAAAAAAAACAAAAACTGACCTACTAATTTCTAAATTACTAAATAGAATGGAACACTTCTTGAGACCAAATGAAAGCATCACTATGCTGGACACTAAGCCACATTATTATACAGTGTTGGTATAGAGCCGATTCAAAGGCAAAAAAAAAAAAAAGCACTAAACATTAATCACTCAAATGCAAAAATCCCTTTATACTGACTTCAAACCTACCATAAATAAATTCATCACAAATAAATGGCAGGAGCATTGGAGCTCCAACCCAGACAACAAACTGTATAGCATCACCCCCATCAGAAGAGTGGAAAGTAGTATTTAGAATGGTAAGGGGGGAGATTGTATTGGCCAAACCCTGTATAGGTCATATTCAAATTACACATAATTTCCTACTGAGAAATGAAGACCTGTCAATATGTATTGCATGTCAAGAACAATACACAGTGAAACCCATTCTAGTGAATTTTAGAGGTCTAAATCTAATCCAAACACAATATTCTCATGTAAACAACTCTTCAATGAAGTTGATCCATCCCAAAATAATCCAATTCTTGAAAAGAAGACAGATTTTACATGAAAATATAATTTTTAAAATCTTAAACATATTATTTTCCTCCAGTACTAAAATTTTCTACCTAAACTGTGAGGCTTATGGCTGTATCACGTTGAAACACTGGTTCTTGTATTATCACTGAAGTTAAGCAATGTTGAGCCTGATCAGTACCTTGATGGGTGACTGCTTGGGAATCAGAGGTGCTGTAAGCTTGGATGTATGAGCTGTGTAATAGATAATGGCTGGCAATTAGCAATCAAAGAGCTGAATTCCAACTCCAGTCAGATTTGTTATATTCCCTTGTGTGCAAATATCCTTGGGAAAGATCTAAATCCATCTCTTCTACTCCAGCTAATAGTAGGAATTGTATCGCTAAATCATTATCTTCAAAAAGTTCTTACAATCTCAAAATATTTCTGGCTTTAAATAACCTGTTAAAGGTTGATAAGCTGCAAAAAAAAAAAATTCAATCCATCCACTATACTGTGGCTTAAAACTTAGTTTTTTCCTTTATATTGCAACCCTTGATTTTGAATACTAAATAATTCTGGCATTAAATAACTCACATAGTTGACATACCAATAAATCAAACAAATGTAAGATATCTAAAATGGCCTGATAAATTTTGAACAGACTATAAAGAATTTTGTTCTGAAATTGCAAAAATTCACTGGAATTTCTCAATGTTCCAATAATTTAGAGAAAAACAGCATGAAAGCTAATTCATAACATGGGCAGCTAATAATAAACATCCTTAAATAATTGTTGGATGACTGTAGACATATTTGCCCTGACAAGGCTCTATTTATTTTCAGTATACCAACACTTGTCTTATCTTTTATTTCCCAGCAAGATAGATTGAATACAAACAAGTATGCAGAAGGTGATTTTAGGTTTCATTTTCTCAGCTAAAAATGACTTTTTGAACTCTATCAGTATTGCAGCTGTTGTTATTGACTCAGATAAAATAATCTCTGAAATAAAGGAAGATAAAATGGATTCCAAATGTTAGATAGGCAAACTAGACAACGCTAAATAGACACAAATAAGTTTTTTTTTTCTTGTATAAAATCAGTGTTCAAGTTCTCTTTTTCTTTTTTTTTTTTTTTCTTCTTTTTATTTAATGGTAAGAATGCAGAATAATGCCCTCCCCTCCCTGTACATTTGTACAAAATAAGATAAAGGACTTTTCTATAAATATTTTCATGGTAATTGTACTGATGATCTTTCCTCTATGTTACCAAGACTTTATGAATATTTAAGTGCAGTACTAAGTAGATGGCAAGTTTGCATCATTTTACAGTTGAAATAGCAAGATGTAACTAAGTTCTATGTTGACAGTTTCTTCTCTTGTTTAAGGAACCTCTTACTTTCTGGTCGGCTTTCATCTTCAAAAATTTAAATGCAATGTCAATCATTATCTTATTTTTTCTTCAAAATTCCTCTTTTATTGTCCTCTCTCCTCAATGGCATTTTTTTCATATACTCTAACAATCCTTGAACCTTGTCTTAGTGGCTTCATTGCCATGATTGGGGTGAAATGATTAAAAAACAAAAGAAAAGGTACATTTCATTATTTTGATTGTGGCAGAAAAAACCTGTTGAAATTTTCTTGTTAAATGTTATATTTCTCAATTATTTAAAACCTAATTATTGAATATCAACAATTCAGAAATGCTCAATAATTTTAAAATATTAAGAGGCATTTGGTAAGAAATAAATGAAAATAAATTTTTTTTTTTTTTTTTTTTTTTTTTTTCACAACCCAAATGTCTATAGAATATTTTAACAAATTAATAAAAACACATTCTAAACAATAACAATATTTTAGTTTTATTTTCTAGGCATAATTTTCTGCAGCTTAGAATTAAATTTTCAGCAAACATTGGTAAACATGCCCACAATAAGACACTGTCAAAAAGACAGTTTTTTGCATGACACCACTTTTTTTTTTTTTTTTTTAAAACTACTTTCACTCTTTGGCAATGTTTATTGTTTTAAAAAGTGGTAATTAGAATTATAATAAATCTTAAATGTTTAAAAAAGAATTTATAGATTTTCTTTGTTCTTGAGAATTGGCAACAAAAATAACAAACAGAAAATTACTTTTGAATACGAAACAGAGTAGATATAATTTCGGGGAATCTGTGATGAGAAGGATTTTGTTCAGAACTTGCTTGATCAGCAAAGCTTCTTCATGGTCAATTTGGTTAAGGCATGTTTGATCTATTTATGGGTTCCTCTCCACCCAGGTGGACACAGGTTTGAATCCTGCTGAAGAGTTCATTTTTTTTTTTTTTTTTTTTAATAAGATTTCTTGACTATGCAGTCTGGTAGATGAAAATAAATAAATATACTAAAAATAAACGGATTGTCTACTCAAATGAGTATTCACTAAAATATAACATTTAAAGTGATAAGAATCTGTCGGATTAATAAATAAAAAAATCTATTACTTCTTTAAAAAAGTACTTTGTTTGGATACAAAACTGAGCAGATATGGTAATTTCATGGGTTTCTTATTTAGCAGTAAATAAACTTATAACAGATAAGACACAAAACATTTTTTATTTAATAGCTGAACATTCTGGCTTCATAAAATAGACCTTAAATGAACTAGATTAAATTACTCAAATGGTATAATTTTTTTCCCCAAGATATTTAGAAGAAAATATTATGGAAGTCATCAGCAAAAAATTTAATGTTAATACAAGAGTAGTATGTATGTTGATCAGGACTCTTCACAGCTTCCTTTGTTGCTCAATGTAACTTTTGGCACTTTACCATTATCTCTCTATTTATTCACTCAAACTGATTAAGAAGGTTACTTGTTGTTTTCATCTGCTTCTCATATATCCTAGGAGTTATTTTTACTTACTAATCCAAATGTTTTCGGCCACCCAATCATATTTTTGTTGTTTTCTATCTTGCCATTATTCTACAACTATTAAACAGTTTTATCTAAAACATTTGTAAACTGTTACATTGAAATTGATTCCTTGAAAGGTCAGTATAATTTAATGGCAGTGTGGGGTAATGAAACTGTTATCCATGATTTAAAAAAAAAAAAAAAAAAGAAGTATTCCAGTCAAGCTTATTTATGCTCATTTTTCACTCATGTCCTTGAAGAAGGCATGAATCTATTAATTCCTATGCCCTTGCTATCTTTCTAATATATATATATATATATATATATATATATACACACACACACACACACACACACATTTATAGGGAAGGGTGCTCAGTATAAGAGATAGGTCATTTACAGAGATATAGAGTGTGGACATAGGAATCAAAACTGCATAATGACTGTAATTTTCATACTTTGTGGTCTCCAGAACTATGGCCACAAACTCTTTTCTTATTTTTATTTATATATATATATATATATATATATATATATATATATATATATATATATATATATATATAAAAACATAAAACAAATTGGAGACTTAAGAAAGCCATGGTGATATTTTATTTCGCAAAATTGATAATTTGCTTTTGCTTTGTCAGACCGGTGGTTTCAAAACAATGAATGGATTCCAAAATTCCTCCAGGAATCAAACGAAAAACAAGATTAATGGCAGTTGTTTTATGATGGTTCCACAAAGTAGAAAGGGAAAGAGATGTATATGTCTCTCTCTCTCATATATATAACAGGCTGCATTTGCATGTCGTTTCTTAACTCACAATCACAATGGAATGCAGATTTTATTGCAGTTATAATGTTTATCTTTGTAAATTACCCCAGAAGATGATCTTAGAAAAGATTGAAAGTACTTGGGTTAGAAAGAACTGTCACCTTCCTTGATGATTTTCATCTATACGTCAAGAAACTGATTAGACAACTGGAAAGGATCAGTATAAAAATAAGTAGACACTATGTCTATATTATTCAATGGAACATGTTTGAATATATATATATATATATATATATATATATATATATATATATATACACATATACATACATACATGTGTGTATATATATATATATATATATATATATAAAAAAACAGAACAATGTTAGGTAGTTTAATAACAAAGTGAAAAATTCTGTATTACGTATGGCCTCTAAAAAGATTTCATCAGACTGAATTAATGTTCTTATTGATTGAAATTTGTGTATGTATACCCCCCATTTTTCTATCAATAAGAACATTACTTCAGTCTGAAGACTGTTTAGAAGACAAAACATGCTACTCAGAACTTTTCCATTTTGACATAGAATTACTTAACATTTATAATGCTAATTTAGAAAAACCTTTTATATTGACATGTCATCAGAAAAAATGGATTTTAACCGAAGAATGTTATTTATGTTAATCATATGAATATTTGATTTTTCAGCTGCATTTTCTTTTTTAAGATTCTTGAATGCCCATGCTGGTAGACATTGAATTACTCTGTGTAAAAGACACCGTTGTTTATTCATCCCCAGATTATTTATAGTAATAAGAAAATATATACACACACTCACACATGATATCTAGACAAAACAATTTTTTACTAGCTTGCTATAATGGTTGACAGAAGGAATGGGTTTATGAACACTTGGATAAACCCCTGTTCCATAACAACCTTATCACCCTGGCAGTAGTCACAATAAAAAAAAAAATTGGTATGCTAATTGTCAATTGTCCCTAGATCATTTCTACATAGCCTTCATTTGGTTTTCTCTTCTTAGCAAATTTCCTCATCAACCTTCTCGGATTATACCTGATTTTTTTCATACACTTGTTCCATGAGTTTTGGCATTCTGGAAGTGCAAGGACGTTCTAACCTCGGTCTGTCTTTAATGGAGGTAGTCTTGTATCAGTCGATTTTCTGTTTGATAAACATTCTATTGATTTCAAGTTGTTTTCCATCTTTAAAAATCTCAGATGGAATCAGTCCATTTTCATGTTGCTCAATTCTATACTTTCTTTTAATTTCTATAGGCATTGTTTCTAGTAAATACTAAAACACTTTGAAAAAACAAATAGTATACATTGTTTGGGGAGTGTCAAACCATAAACAACGATGACATGACCAAAAATTTAGAAGAGGAATTCATATTTTATAACAGCATTTATACTGCACCCTGTATTACTAAATCTATGAAGAAATTATCTTTTATTCTGTATAAAATAGATCATTAAAAGAAAGGTTAAATTCAAATGTTAGGTTAAAATTGGTTCTGCCCTGGATATTTCAGAGAGCAT